CTTTCGTATCATTTGCTGGGAACTTAGGAAATATCCTGTTATATATTAAAGAGAAACAGTTGAAGAATATCTGAAAGAAGAACTAAGGGCAACGCTATTTTTTTTTTCATTTTGCATAGAATAAGGGGGGGGGGGGGGTTATAACCCCTGTAGTATTTTTTTTGCCACCTGTGTCCAGTTGGGGAGATTTTTCTTCACTTCCTGTCCCATAACCAAAACAGGAAGTGAGAGGAAATCCCTCCAAAGCATTCACCAAGGTCACCGGGACTAGTGTCCCCATAAAATATTTTGCCTTTATTACTGTTCTGGAGGCAATCCAACATTTGGGATTTTCTTTCACTTACAATGGTAAACATGACAGAAAGGGTGAATCTTCCTAACGGGGACAAAGACAGTAATAATACATTGTCAGGTTCTCTGACCCCTCTCTATTCAAAATTTAAAAAAAAAAAAAATAAAGTTTTGACCTGAAATCTTAGTTTATTTTTTGTTTTCAAAGGGCGAGGCTGCAACCTCTGTCATGTTTTTATTGTTGTGTCCATGTTGGGGAAATTCCCCGTATTTGCCCTGGAGACCATTTTCACTGGGATAGAGTGCGGTGGGAAATCAAAAACATTACAGTTGTTGCTAAAGCAGGAATAGAAAAATAACGTATTAAGAACTGAAATTTGCCGAGCTTCAATTTTAAGGGCTTGTCTGGAATTGTGTCTGTGTTACCATTGAAATGATTTTTGACTTTGTGGCCACTGTCTCTGGTATAGAAAGTGATGATAAATCCAACATTTTGGAGTTGTCACCAGAGTAAATCCAATGGGGACATCTGTTTTAGTGACAAATGTCCATGAGGAGATTTACCTTCACATTGGAGGTATTTCCTCTTACTTCATGTGTGTCTCTGAAACAGGAAGTGAAATGACATCCCCCAAACTGATAGCAAAAAAAAAACAAAAAACTGACAGGGTCTTAAATTAGTACTAAAGCCTAAGCATTTTTTTTAACCTTAACCACTTCCCGCCAGAGGTACACATATAAGTGGTTGGGTTTTAATGCCAAGAGGCCACATATATGTGGTCCTATGTACACACATTTCTGCGCTGAAAGCGTGCACCCTGTGTGCTCCCAGCACAGCTACCGGTGGGGACCGGAAAGCCCCCAATGCATACTTTCAATTCAGAGCTTTCCAATCATGTAACTGCGGTGACAACCAATCACAGCAGTCACATGACCAAAATGCCCGCCTCTGCAGGCGGCGGCAGGGAGGGGTTAATGCCTATCAGCATTAACCCCTTGACACAGACGTAACACAAATATGTGGCCTCACAGAACTGGGATTTTTTTCCGCGGGGCCGCATATTTGCATACCTGAGAGCACCGGGTCCCATTCTAACGATCGGGACCTGGGACTCCCAATTCCGGGTCACACAATCGATGTGATAGCCTCTGATTGGCTATCACAGTGATCAGTCACTGTACAGCCTGGCCCCCTTGTTTTATTTTTCTCTCTCTATGAATGGAGAACAGAGATACATTGTATCTCTCTAACTCCTGCCATAGAGGGGAAAAAAATGTTTGTAAAAAAAAAAAAAAGATAAATAAATATTAAAAAATAAAGAAAAAAAATACCTAGATCAAGGCTTCATCTAGTTCAGTGCCAGGGTTAGTGTTTGGGTCAAGGTCAGGGTTAAAGGTCAGGGTGAAAGGTCAGGATTTTAAAAAATTTGGTATCAGTGGCAGTGTGTGTTTTAGGTAAAAAAGACAAACAAAAATGTGCACTATTGTTTCTGGGCTGTACTACGGGTACAAACAACAAATAACATACACATATATGGTATCGATACAATCGTCAAGAGCTGGAGAATTTATTTTGGGTTGTTCTTTGATGGTAGGTTGTGGTAGTAACAAGAAAACACACAAATAAATAAAAAAATATTTTTTTTTTACTATTTTGGGCCAGTTTTCCTTTGATAATAAAAAAAATCAGGAGATATCCATTACCATTTACCTCCAAATGAAAGCCCAATTTGTCCGGAAAAAAAAAACACGGTATTATTCACCTGGATGTACAAAGTAGTTGTGATGATATGTACGGTTTTACTAAAACATGACATAACACAACGTTGCAAAATTGTGCTTAGGTATTTAGATTTGTTTTACCCTTAGGCGTGAAGGGGTTAAAGTAAAAACTGGGACAGTACAGTTGCACAACTCCTCTTTCTCCCTGTCCCCACACATGCTATCCTTGTCACCACTGCCAAGTCTTCCATAAGAAGCTGTCTGGGAGGAGGGGCTGTGTGTTTGAATAGATGCACACAGCCCCGATCTGGAGCATGCACTCATGGGTGTCTCCATAGCAAACATCTCCCAGAGAGGGATGGCAGCAATCTGAGAACAAGCCAGATTAAAAAAAAAAAAAGACACACTTTGACAGAAGCAGGCTTTACATATGATGACTTCCTCAACTAAAATGAGGGTTTAGTATCACTATAACCATACCCTACTGGGGTGCTGATGTCAACAGTCAATGTAATTGCATAGATCTGCTGACATCGGAGTCCACAATGCAGAGCTGTGGGAAGGCATGCATTCTAATGCTGGTTTGAGGTCATGTGACCTGGGACCTGAATGCCAAGGAATTCTGCTTTTTTCTGCTAATAGCTAAAGTTTACAAAGCTTTTATTACACAAAACATTCCTGGGCTTGTTTGTAAATCCAGTTACAAGAAGAGATGGTAAATTGTTGTAAATGGTCTTTTTACGCTCACTCGGGGCATTGTTTTCACAGCAACCAAATGTTTGTTTCTATTTCTAAGGTGCAGAAGAAAGAGAAAAAAATATGTGATGATCTGCTTTTGGCAACTGTTTCAGTACAGTTCAGTATAAACAGGACTGACTGCGCAGTAGAAGTAAAGTGGATGTAAAGGCTCAAGGTTTTTTTACCTTCATGCATTCTATGCATGAAGGTAAAAACCCTTTTGTGTGCAGCAGCCCCCTCAGACTCCCTAACACTTACCTGAGCCCTATCCTAGTCCAACGATGTCCACAAGAGCCATGGTTCTCCTGGGACTCTCACTCCTGATTGGCTGAGACAGCAGTGGAAGCCATTGGCTCCCATTGTTGTCAATCACAGCCAGTGGGCCAATCAGGAGAGGTGGGGCCTGTGTTTGAATGGACACACAGAGCCATAGCTCGGGTGCCCCCATAGCAAGCTGCTTGCTGTGGGGGCCCCCAACAGCAGAGAGGTGTCAGGAGCACCCGACCTGAGAAGGATCTTGGCTGCTTTGTGCAACACCACTTCACAGAGCAGGTAAGTATATTTTTTATTAAAAAAAAAAATAATAACTTTAGTATCACTTTAAGGCAGCTGCTTCGTTTTTTGAAGCGTCTTTCCAGAAGAGTTTCAACACCTGACCCCAGATTTCCATGTTATTCTGTTGTGCCTGTTCAAATTTGATTGATCAGAAAAAGTTACCCCCGGTTCACATCTATGCGGCCGTGTTTTGCATGGGCATGAGAGCTCTTTCATTTGAATGGACTCCCGTACCAGTGACAAGCAGGGAAGAAATCTCTGCACTTCTTCCGAAAATGCAGCCCACAAAGGATCTGCATTTCTGTGTGGGTGGTGCGGCTGCACGGATCCGCAGCGGCCACCACCCACACAGATGTGAACCTAGGGTTACAGGACTTTCTTTGGGGCATGATTGGATGTTGTTGGCCCCAATAGACTTCAATTGGAGAGCCTAAAAAAGTGGGTGTAATGTGCATTTTTTGCACAATTTCATTCCCAACAACTGTCTTCCTGTTCCTAATAGTTAGCTTTTTATTGGCTAAAACAAAGACATTCAAGTCATGTGACGGACCACCTGGCACCCCACCTGGGTGCTTCCTTGCCGCTGGAACAAGATATTATCACTTTGAATTGCACTAAAGAACTAGACAATACTAGCTTAGGTGCAAACAGGAACCCCTTTATTGGACATACAGGTTTTTATACGCTTCAAAAAATAGAGGCAATCACCACAATAAAAACAAATATTACACATTGAGGTAAGGAGGTAAAGTTGACATCAGGAAGATTAGTGAACAAACAATAGGTTACTTAACTCAATTAACAATAGGAGAAAGACTTACCAGTAAACACATAACATCTTAACAGACTACACATAACATGCAGGAGACCTCAGCATCGGGTTGTTTTTAGCCGATTCTAATCTTCTGCTTAAAGTCTGAGTCATAGGTGGTCGAAGCAGTCAATGCTGGTTTGGGCACAGAGGCCCCAATCTGTATCTGGGTCCTTCAGTTCTCAGGGTCTGTTTCAGGGAGACATGGACTTGAATCTAAAGTAAAACTAATCCAAAAGGTCCCCCAGGCACACACCTCCCAGAGGACAGAGATCCCTCAAACGCTAGGGGCCCATTGCCAGTAGGCAAGAGGCTAGCCTGCAGTCTCCTTCAAGAGACCCTGTCCCAGTTGGGTCTGTCACAAGCCTGAAAAGAAAACTCCAAAATCACATGAAAACACTCACGTGTGAATCCAGGTTGGATTGCCTATAGATGTTTATTACAGATATAAAGCTGACAAATTTATACAGTAGTTTGCATATATTATACGTTCACCTCAGTCCCTGCCCTCAAGGAGCTTACTGTCTGAAGATCCCTACATGAAATGCATATACACATACTAGGATCAATTTACCAATAAACCTATCAGCATGTCTTTGGAATTTGGGAAGAAAGTGGAGTACTTGGAGGAAACTCATGTAAACACATGGCAAAAACGCAAGCTTCATACAGGTAGTGTTCATTGTTTGGATTCACATGAATGACCCTAATGCTGCAAGGCAGAAGTGCTAACCACTATGTCCTAATATTAACCACCTTCCGCCCACCCTATAGTACAAAGGGCGCAAGGTGGTTCTCTCGTTCTGATATGATGTCATATGACATCCTACCATTCTCACTGCGCATGCGCGGCTCAGGGAGCGCGCAGATCGCTGGTGCGCTGTGTCCCTTGGACACAGCGGATCACAAAAAGAGCCGAAGATGTCGGCTCGGTCATGTGATCAGCTGTGTCCAATCGGTTATCGGCATTTCTCTCCTCTCAAGCTGTCACGCTGACAGCTCGAGAGGAGAGCAGAGCTGGTAATCGGCTTTCCGCGGAGGGGACATGTACACTGATCATCAGGGCACTGATGATCAGTGTACCCCGATGATCAGTGTGGCCCCAGAAGTGCCACATGCCAGTGCCCATCAATGCCACAGTGCATACCAGTGCACATCAATGCCACATATCAGTGCCCATCTGAGCTGCCTTTCAGTGTAACCCATCAGTGCCACCTATCAGTTCTGCCAATCAGTGCCACCTATCAGTGCCAGTGTTGCCCAACAGTGCCAGTCAGTGCCACCCAACAGTGCCATGTATCAGTGCTGCCTTTCAGTGCCCATCAGATGCCTGTCAATGCCCATCAGTGCAACCTACCAGTGCCTCCTCATCAGTGCCACCTATCAGTGTCCATCACTGCAGCCTCATTAACGCACATCAGTGGAGAAAAATCACTTATTTACAAAAATTGCATAACAAAAAAACTAAGAAAACGCAGTTATTTACCTGTTAACTGTATTTCCAGGAATCTTCTAGGACAGCTCACTTGAGAGATAGGCTCCTCCCAGGAAACACCCGCTCCACCTTTTTCCTCTATAAGTAGCCTCTCTCCCAGGGGACCCTCAGTATAAGAATATGACCGAAGGCCTAGGAGAAAGCATAAAAATGGTAATAGAGACACAATCACGATTTCAAACATGACAAAACCCTAGTACATAATCACACAGCAATCGGGAGGGAGTTACGCTGTCCTAGAAGATTCCTGGAAATACAGTTAACAGGTAAATAACTGCGTTTTCCCGAGTCATCTTCTAGGACAGCTCACTTGAGAGGAGTAGAATAGAAATACATGCTCTAGGGTGGGCCCTTTGTTCGTAGGACCTTCCTGCCGAACTCCTGGTCCTTGCTGCCAATTAGGTCAAATCTGTAGTGCCTAGCGAAGGTGGCGAAACTGGACCATGTTGCGGCTTTGCAGATCTGTCCAGGGGAGGCCCCCCCTTTTCCGCCCAGGTGGCTGCGGTGGCCCTGGTCGAATGCGCCTTTAGGCTGGCCGGTGGCGACAGACGCAGTTCTATAACCTTCAGAAATGGCCTCTCTTACCCATCTTGTGATGGTGCCTTTGGAGGCACTGTCCCCCTTCCTTGGACCATCAATTCCGCTGTAGTCTCCCTCCAGGGATGGTATTATTTCTTGTGACTTATGTGAATGTGACGCAACCTTAGGTAGAAACGGCCAGCCAGGTTTTTATCTACCCGGCTTGGAGGAATTCCCATACTGTATGTAAGATGGGAGCCCCTGGCGACCCATTCCTATCCTTCCAGGCGGAGAACTTCTTCCAAGTTCTATTATATACGGTGTTTGGCGATTTCTTCCTTCCGTCTAAGATGGTGGCGACCACCTTCTCTGACAGGCCTTTCCTGGCTAGCCTGTCCCACTCAGAAGCCACGCTGCTAGGGAGAGTTCTCCTGGGTGGGGTGTAGCACCTCCCCTTGCCCCCATAAATCGTGTGAGGGTGGCATCATCCATGGGTCTGTTAAGCTTAGCAAACCATGCTGGGCAAACCATGGCCCTTTGGGCCAAAATGGTACAATCAGGATGACTTTGGCTTGGGATGACTGAATCTTCTGCATCACTTCCGGCAATAGTCTGAACGGAGGAAACCCATAGAGAAGGTCTCCTTCCCATTGCCGGGCTAATGCATCTCTCCCTGCACTCCTGGGGTCCTTCTGCAGGCTGCAGTACCTCTCCAGTTTTGTATTTTGGCTGTTAGTGAAGAGATCCGTGGAGGGAGTGCCCCATCTGGCACTGCACCCCTCGCAGATTTGATTGAATGCTGGTATGGCTGACCTCTTTCCGGATCATTTGGTCCGCCAACTGATAGAGATATCCTTTCCGATGCACTGCTGTGATGGACTCTACGTTTGTCTCTGCCCAGCTCAGGAGGGTTTCTGCCAGATCCATCAGTCTCGGGGACCTCGTGCCCCCCCTATCTGATTAAGTACGCGACAGCCGTTGTGTTGTCGGATAAGATCTGAACTTCCTTTCCCTCTCGTACCCTGGAAAGCCCACAATTCCTTGTAGTTTGACGATCTGCCCGAGATTCCGCGTCCCCGCTTGCCCTGGGCCAGGCGGTCTTCCATGTGAGCACCCCACCCAGACATACTCACATCTGTGGTGATTCTTACCGGGCTGACTCGCTGCCATTTTCTCCCAGCCTCTAAGGTGTGGATGTTCTCCCCCCCCCCCCCCCCCCTTTAGCGAATTCCTCATGCGTGAGAGGCGGATCCTGGAATCCAAGGCTGCTTGGCTGCCATCCCAGTGGGAGAGGACACGGTCCTGCAGAATTCTGGAGTGAAACTGTGCCCATTGCACTCCAGGTATGGCGGCTGTCATGCGCCCCACTAACCTCATCGCAGCTCTGGCCGTGCAGGTCTCCATCCCCCGGAAGATCTTCGTATCTTGCTGCAGTCTGAGAGCTTTTTTCCCCCCGTTAGGTATAAGCGGGTATTCTTGGAATCCAGGGCATACCTCAGAAACGTGATCCTTCTGGGAGGTATTAGCTGGGATATTTCCCCCCTATTGATTAGCCATCCCAAGTACTCTGGGAAGGAATCTGTGCACCGTACGTGGGATCTCAGACCCCTCTCTCTGTATTGCAAATAAAAGTAGCGGTTCTGCTCGGACATTGGTGAATATCCTTGGAGCCGATGACAGACCGGAGGGGAGTGCTTGAAAATGGGAGTACTCAGAGGAAACCCTTGCAAGCGCGGGAGAACATGCAAACTCCATGCAGGGGGGCGCCACGATCGGGGGACCGAACCCACGACCCATATACCGCAAGGCAGACATGCTAACCATTAAGTCACTGTGCTGCCCCGTTGAACTGAAATAGAATTGTTCCCCCTGCGCCTTCCAGCGCAACCCTGGGAAACTTCTCTGATTCCTCCCTTATCGGGACGTGCAGATACGTGTCCTTCAAATCCATCGAAGCCATAAATACGCCCTGGTGGCAGTAGTTTCTTTCACACTGTGTGTATGGTCTCCTGCAAAACTTTTTTCTTTTTTTTTTTTTTGGGGTCCCACGAACTCGTTCCCCTTTTTCAGGCTGAGTATCATTCTGCAGGTTCCCGACGCCCTCCTTTTTAGGAAGAAATGGGAGTAGAACCCCCCCCCCCCCCTCTTCCTGCTCCAGCTGGCAAATTACATTCTGCCCGAGCATCACATCCAGGAGGTCTACTAACATGTCCGCTTTTCCCCTGTCCCTTGGCAAGGGTGTTGCGAAGAACCTTCGAGGGGGGGGGGGGGGGCGCCTGAGAACTCTATTCTGTAGCCATTCGGAATGCATCAAAGATAAAGTGTTCCGAGTGATTTTCAGCCATTGTATGTGGAAGTGTCCCAGGCTTCCTCCCACTTTGCTCCTCCGGTCACTTGGACCGGTTCCTGGATCTATTCTGGTTGGGGTTGAAGAGGAAGTCTTCCATTCCCCTTGACTAATCCTTGATCCCCCCCCTGTGCGCTGCACCTAAAACCCAGTCTCTTTTTGTCGTATACTGCCTGTTGGGCCAAAACCCCCTCCGCCCTGTAGGCCTGCTTGGGGCTGGAAAGCCTTTCCTTCTGTCGCTGACCTTTCCAGGACCGAATTTAGTACTGGCCCGAAGAGGAGTTTTCCCTCGAAGGGCCGACCGCAGAGTTTGTATTTAGAGGCAAGATCCCCCTGCCAAGATTCTAACCAGATAGCTCTTCTGGCAGAATTTACAAGCGCAGTTGACTCCGCTTGTAAATCAAATAGCTTCCATCGATGCGCCTGCAGTGAAAGCCACCGTCCTAAGACTGGCAGCTACTTCCGGATCTCCTCTGCCGAGGCGCCTTGTTCTAGAAAGAGGAGCATCTGGCCTTGGGCAAGTTTCCCACGTTGCAGCATCTTCTTCCTTGAATGGGAATCTCCTCTTGAGATATTTGGAAAGAGCCTTCTTTTCCGGCTCTTCCCATTCCCTTCTGATGGTGGACCATAAAGTAGAATACGCATGGACTGCGTGGCCACTTTTTTTTTTTTTTTTTTTTTTTTTTAGACCTGCATACAACTGGTCGTGGAGGGAGAGATCCGGTTGTTCCTCCTCCAGGTCGCCTCCCTGAGGTGCCTGGTTGGGGCTTTGTCCTGGGCGGGACCCGGACTCTTAGAAACAATACATGCACAGGGAGAGCATGCAAACCCCATGCAGGAGGTGTCATAGTCGGGAATCAACCCCACAAACCATTTACTGTGGCAGACATGCTTTTAACAGAAAGCCAAGATATCCCGGCTACCTGGCGACCAACGTACCGGTGCGGGGATTCAAACCCCTGACCTCACACTTACAAGCCCGGTGCTTTCCCCCGAGCCACCGTTACAACTGCACCAAGCCTCTGTGCCACCCCCGTGGGCCCACCTGGGGATGAGGAACATAGGGCGCCCATCCACCCTGCAGCCCCCTCGGGGCCCCTACATGGACCCCCTAGCACCCAGAAAGCCCCTAGGTAGTGTAGGGAAATGAGAAGGCGGGCGGGGGTTGTGGCAGCCAAAAAGGCCCTTACCTGCTGCAGGTCTCCCCCAGCCTGACAGATCTGCCTCCATCCTTGCCGCGAACTCCCTCTTGGTGCGGCTGTTTTGCAGAGTTTAGCGGGCTCCGCCCTCTCCCTGGGGTCCACATGCGCCGGCCTCCCTCTCACGGCCGCCGGTGGAAGAAGGGGCCGTGGTGTGGGCGAGTTCTACGGCCCGCCACCCATAGCCCACATGGCGGCAGCGCCGCTTCCTGTTCCTGTGCCGGAACTGACGCGATTCTGGCGTCCTGCCCGACCATCGTCCATGCTGCAGAGATCCCGGAAAAGGTAAGCTCACCTCAGCCCAAGGGAAAGGCAATCCTGCCCAGGTCGGCGTAGCGGGCTCTGCCCCCCTGGAGAGCCCCGCTAGGACCATTTGGGGTCTGTCACCCCCACCCCAGAGGGGCTTACACGAAGGGGACCTGACTGAAGCCCCCTCACAAGGCCCCTGCCTTGCTTAGAAAAGGAGGAAAGGGGGGCCTCAGCACCCAGGTGGCCCTAGAAAAAAACAAAACAAGCGTAGCTCACTCCTGGCCTGAGGAAACACTAATACTGAGGGTCCCCTGGGAGAGAGGCTACTTATAGAGGAAAAAGGTGGAGCGGGTGTTTCCTGGGAGGAGCCTCTCTCTCAAGTGAGCTGTCCTAGAAGATGACTCGGGGAAAAAAACGTTTCAAAATGTTCAGTGGTTTTTGGTTTAAGAAAAATTAAAAATCCCAGAGGTGATTAAATACCACCAAAAGAAAGCAC